GTTGGCTTCAACTCAATGACAGAGTGGCCTGTGGGCAAGATAATCCTCCCAGTCAAAGCTGGAACCATGACAAAACAGGTAGAATTTTGGGTTTTGAAGGTCCCTTCCACTTACAACATAATCCTGGGAAGAACAAGGTTGCACGCCATGCGATCGGTAGCGTCAACCTACTATCAAGCATTATGTTTCCCCAATGAAGCCGGAGTAATTGAAGAGGTCTTGGGAGACCAAATTATGTCAAAACAGTGCTTCAGCACAGTCAATGGCAGCCGGGCGGCAAAAGGGTATGTGTAAATGGTGGAAGAACCAGAGAGCAATGAACTTTTTGCAGATGTTGGCAAGGTAGCTGAACAAAAGACAGTGGAAGACTTGGTAGAGGTAAGGATAGATGAAAAGAACCCAAAAAAGTTCTTTTTGCTCGGTTCATCTTTGTCCAACACTGAGAGATTAGAGGTCATGGAATTCTTAACCTCTAACATTGAAGTGTTTGCCTGGATGCCATACGACATGCCTGGCATTAACCCAAACTTCATCTGTCACCAACTAAATAGACCCAACTGCCAGACCAATTGTATAGCGCACTCGCAGATCAGCACTTCACCACACGGAGATAGTAGCGGAGGAAGTGGGAAACTTGTTGGAGGCAGGAGCCATCAGAGAAGTGCACTATCCTAGGTGGATCTCCAACACTGTTGTAGTGCCAAAGAAAAATGAAAAATGGCATGTCTGCATGGATTACAAAACAGTCAACAAGACATGCCCAAAGGATAGCTTTCCCTTACCAAGGATAGACCAACTGGTAGACCTGACGGTAGGACATAATCAACTTAGCTTCCTTGATGGGTATAGAGGTTACCATCAGATCGCTATGTACGAACCAGACCAGGAGGTCACATCTTTTACAACGCCTAGAGGATTGTATTGCTACAAGGTCATGCCCTTTGGCCTAAAGAACGCAGGGGCAACATTCCAGCGGATGGTCACTAAAATGTTTGAACCGTTGTTAGGCAGAACAATGGAAGCTTACATAGATGACATGGTGGCCAAAAACAAGGATGGGAAGGACCATCTCAGGGACCTAGATGAAATGTTCTAAATTCTTAAAAAGAACAAGTTACATCTAAATACATCGAAGTGTGCATTCGGCGTAGGATCAGGCAAATTCCTAGGCTTCCTGGTGACCAACCGAGGTATAGAGGCAGACCCTTCTTAGATCAAAGGAATCCAGGATCTGGAGAGGCCCAACACAGTTAAAGAGGTGCAGCATCTCACTGGCCTAGTAACCACACTCAATCGGTTTATAAGTCGGTCATTAGATAGATGTCGACTATTCTTCTAAGCGTTGAAGGCCAAGTTTGAGTGGAATGAAGAATGCGACCACGCCCTACAGAGCTTGAAAGATTACATGACCTCTCCTCCAATTCTAGTAACCCCAGTACCTGGAGAAGAGCTCCTTTTGTACTTAGCAGTCTCACAACATGCAGTCAGCGCAGTATTGGTCAGAGCGGAGGGAATCCAACACCTGCCTATCTTTTATGTTAGCAAGACTTTGCTGTGTGCAGAAACCAGGTACCTACCATTAGAAAAGCTGGCCTTGGCTTTGATGATGGCCTAAAGGAAGTTGTCGCATTACTTTCACGCTCACACCATAATCGTCTTAACAGCTTTTCCCCTAAAAGCTTTGCTTGAGAGGGCAGACTTTTCTGGACGAATCTTGAAGTGTGCGGTGGAATTAGGACAATTCGACATCAAGTTTCAACCTAGAACCGCAATAAAAGCCCAAGCCCAAGCCCTAGCAGACTTTGTGGTTGAGTTCACACCAAGAAGTCATTACATCTGCCCAGTTGACTTGACTGATACAACCGAAGTGGAGATGAAAAGTGCCGCAGGAACTGCGTAGCCCCCCAAACCAAGTTGCCCAGCTACATTTCAAGCCATGCAGGACTAAAGATCAGGAAGGGGCAAACCATGCTATAACTAGCAAGGACTCATCAACAAGTAAAGACTTGGGGTAGTCAGATAGTGAAGGGCAAACCCCAATAGCAAGCATGGACTTGGAAAGAAACATCAACAACACTCATGACCCCAAGACATCATCTGACCCCTCTACTTGCTGGAAACTATTTGTCGAAGAGATGTGGAAGCTCTTCGTGGATGGAGCATCCAATAAGCACGGTGTAGGACTTGGTGTAGTCCTCATCTCACCAGATGGTCTAATAGTTGAACATGCAGTCAACCTTGGCTTCCCAGCATCAAACAATGAGGTAGAGTATGAAACGCTTCTAGCAGGCCTAAAATCAGCACTCTTTATGAAGGCCACCGAGCTAATGGTTTACAGTGACTCCCAGCTGGTAGTGAACCAAATTTCAGGTGATTACGAGGCAAAAGATGAGAGGATGACTAAGTACCAAGAGTTAGTCAGAAAGGAGATCATGAAGTTTGAAGTAGTACGAATAGAGTAGATCGGCCGTGAAGAAAACAGTAGAGCAGACGAACTAGCAGGTTTTGCTTCAATGGCAGACACATCCATCTCTCATCCATTACTGATCGACTTCTTACCCAAACCAAGTATTGAAGAACCCGAAGTAACTGAGGTATGTTGTACCAAATTAGGCCCTTTATGGATGGATCCCATTATTGTGTTCTTAAAAGATGGCATCCTACCTGAAGAGAAGAAATAGGCCAACAAAATAAGAGCAAAGTCACAGCGATTTTGGCTCTCTTCATCTTTGGCGTTATACAAAAAATCCTTCACTGGACCTTACTTGAAATGTGTCCATCTTAGCAATGTCGAGGCATTTTTGTTCGAGATACATAAAGGTGTATGCGGAAGCCACCAAGGGGGAAGATCATTGGCTTACAGAGCAATCTCACAAGGATATTGGTGGCCATACATGCAAGCAGATTCTGAAAAGTACGTTAAGAAGTGCGAGAAATGTCAGAAGTTCGCACACTAGATACACCAACCAGCCAGAGAGCTTCTACCATTAACTAGCTCATGGCCCTTTGCAATGTGGTGCTTGGACATAGTGAGACCACTTCTAACAGCACCCAGTAACAGAAAAGTTCTTTCTCGCTGCAACAGACTACTTCACAAAGTGGGTGGAGGCCGAAGCGCTCGCATCAATAAAAGAGAAAGATGTGAAAAAGTTTGTCTGGCAGAATATCATAACCCGATTTGGCATACCGAAAACACTGATATCTGACAATGGCACTCAGTTCGATGTCAAAATCTTCAGAGGCTTTTGTGAAGAATACAAAATAGAATTCTACAACTCTGCACTAGCATACCCTCAAGCAAATGGCCAAGCAGAAGCGTCAAACAAAGTTGTCTTGGATGGTTTGAAGAGAAGGTTAGAAAGAGCAAAAGACAAGTGGGCTGAAGAACTTCTTCATGTTTTATGGGCCTACCGGACCACGCCTCGATGGTCAACTAGTGAAACGCCTTTTTCTTTGGCCTACGGCATGGAGGCTGTAATCCCACTGGAAGTAGGCCTCCCCACCATAAGAAGCGAAAATTTTGACCCAGACTTGAATAGAGAAGCCATAACCTTGGAACTTGACCTCGCCGAAGAAAGAAGGTAAAGAGCATTGGTTCACTCAGCAGGAGTTATCTAGAAAGTACAACAAAACAGTCCATTCGAGGTAATTCAAGATTGGGAATTGGGTATTACGCAAAGTAATGGGCAACACTTTGGTACCCGGAGATGGCAAGCTAGGACCTAACTAGGAAGGACCATACAAAGTGGTTGGTTTAGCAGGAAAATGGGCATATCACTTGGAAGATGGAGACAGCAAGGCTGTTCCCAGGCCATGGAATACTGCCAATCTCAAGCTATTTTATTTTTAGATTTTTTCTTAGGAATAAATGTAATTTTTCCTTTTTCCAAATAATACAAGTAGTTTACTTTTTTAGCATAAAGTTTTTCTATTGTAAAAGTTGTTCTGAGTCATTGCCAACAAGGGGTAATCGTAAAGTTGACAGGAATAACCAATATTTATCTCTCTTCAGTCGAGATCAGGATCTGGGCTGAAGAGGTTGGCCGGAATAACCAACATTGAGCTCTCTTCAGCCTAGATCAGGATCTAGGCTGAAGAGGTTGGCCGGAATAACCAACATTGAGTTCTCTTCAGCCCAGATCAGGATCTAGGCTGAAGAGGTTAGCAGGAATAAGCAACACTTAGCTCTTTTCAGCCGAGATGAGGATCTAGGTTAAAGAGGTTGGCAGGAAAAACCAACTTTGAGAACTCTTCAGCCAAGATAAGGATCTAGGCTGAAGAGAGGTTGGCAGGAATAACCAACTTTGAGAACTCTTCAGTCGAGATAAGGATCTAGGCTAAAGAAAGGTTGGCAGGAATAACCAACTTTGAGTACTCTTTAGCCGGGATAAGGATCTAGGCTGAAGAGAGGTTGGCAGGAATGACCTACACTCATCTCTCTTCAGCCGAGATAAGGATCTAGGCTGAAGAGAGCTGGCTGGTATGACCAGATTACAAGGCGCTAAGACCGAGATAAGTATCTCGGCCAAAAAATATTGAAACTTCATGCAACTCAGAATAGAAAAATAAATGCAAGAATCCAACCGAACAAAAAGACGGACAAAAACAGTGGATTTCATTCAAGATTAGAAACAACATTACAATGAGGGGCTCCAGTCCGGGTACAAAATGCTTTCAAAAATTGATATCAAAAGAAGAAAAATACAAAAATCAAGCAAAAAGATCATCCAGGTCTGCGTCCAGGACAACTCGAGTTTCATCACTCTGTAGCCCAGTCCCAGCAGGAAGGTCGGTCACATCTCTAACCGTACTGGGCACTGGGGCTCCACCCGAGCTGCCTGAGCGATTTGGAGACTAGGATCATTGGTAGCAGCTGGGGCGTTGTTGGGTTCTAGGGATGCTTCCTCTTCCTTCCCTACTTAAAGAAATTTTTGCTGAATAGCATTGGCGTAGTCCGCTATATTGCTCGGAATGAAGTGGGGAGGAGGGTTCTAAAAGACCTCGCTCTCTTCGCCATAACTGAGCCTTGACACAGCTGCCTTCCATCCGTATTTGAAAAATATGTCCTTAGCTGCTTCACATTGCAGGATGTAGGTGGCCTCTCCCTCCTTGTAACCTCTGTCTTCAGCATCTTCCATTTTTTTGTTGAGCTCGGTGATCTCGGCATCCATTTTCCTTTCAAGCTTGGCCAATTCGCGCAAATAGCAGTCTTTCAGCACGGCCAAAGCTTTTTGCTTATTCGCTTCCGCCGCGTTTACTAGCTCGGTAAGTCAGGCGACGTCAGACTCAAGCTCGGTGGTTGTTTGCTTCACTTCATTTAGCACCGCCGTTTTTGCATTAGCATCTGACATGGCCAGCCGTGCTGTTTTGCGCAATTCTAGCACGCGCTTATGGGCAACGTGGTTCTTCTGCATGGCCTGCAAAATGAGAGATGGTTAAAATAATTGGAAACCGAGCAAGCAGATCGTGATTCGGAAAACAAAATAAAGGGAGCACTTACCAGCACCATTGACTTAGTTGTCGAGCGAATGGATTTGACTTCGGTGAGGTGATTGTGGTGCTCCAAGTCAGCGGGCAGACACACGCTTTTGGCAACATTGAAAGTGAGCGAGTGGTCCTTGTCTGCTATCACCAAATCAGTACTGGAAACAGGCCGGTTCTTGTATGTTATCTTTGGTGCCCATTCAGAAGGGCTAGCCCGGTCAGAACTCACGTGCTCTGGGCTCGGTTGCGTGGACTGGGAGAGCAAGGTGTCATCTTCATCTATAAGGTGTTGTGGCTCGGTTGAGGGAGTACGGGCGTGCTTATTCGGCTGAGATGACGAAGCCCTGGTTGTTGGGAGGGCTACCACAGCTTCTTGTGTTTGGCCAGCTTGTGGTATCACGGTTTGATCCCCGCTGGCTGGAGCTATTGTTTCGGTGATTAGGGCTCGCACGGCTCGGTGCTTTGCCATCTCTTGTTCTTTGGTTAAGGGAATAAGGTTGATTTGGGGGAGAGTTGGATCTGGTTCTGGTGAAGGCTCCAAAAGGAAGTCAGTTACCCTGGTCTTCCTCCTTCCACTATATCTATATGTTGGTTCAAAATTGAGTAGCTCTGCCCAACCTCAATCGCGGTACCAAAGCGCGGTGCGGAAAACATCTAGATTAGGGTATTGATATTGTGCCTTAAGATGGTTCAAGTCTGCATAGTGAAAAAAGCAGCGGTTAGCGCAGTGAGAAACTTATAAATAACATGGGTAAAAAACATACAAGTTAAATCGGGGTGTTCATACCAGCTGTTCCTTTATTCCAGTTTATATTGTAGCCCGGTATCTGGGCTTCCTGGTCTTCAAAATTGCCAGAATCCCAGAAAAAATCATTGTCATTCAAGTCTTTGTCCGGCGTGTTTTTTATTATTTTCTCTCAGCGTCTTCTTGTTCTTAAATAATATACCCAGCTATCCTCGTTCTGGCCGAGCGAGTATTGGTGGAATATCTCGGTTAAACCAAGGTTGAGGCCAAGCCGGCGGTTTAGCTCGGTGATGCCGTTTATTATCCTATAAGAGTTGGTGCTAAGTTAGGCTGGGCATAGTCTAGTCTATCTAAGGAATTCGCATAGTAGTGGCTGCACGGGGAATCGGAGTCCGGTCTCTACAATGGATATGACGGTGAGGGGAACGAAGCCTGATTTTTCCCATGGAGTTGTATCTAGCTCAGTTAGTGAAAGGTGGACGTCATTAGGGATGTTGTAGTCCTTGCAGAATTCGGCAATGGCCCCTGGTGAGTTTACTAGGAATCGGTATTTGCCCATTTTTAACTTAAAATTATGTATAACTTAGCCCGAAGTCCTAGCTCGGTGTTGAGATGACGTTGAGTATCTCGGTTGAGCGTGCAAAGGTGTGCTTGACCAACCTAGTCAGAGTCTGCAAAGTGAAGATAAAAAGTGTTATGCCCAGACAACTGGACCGGACTAAGTGAAGAGTCAATTTATAAACGAAAAAGAAAATGGAAAAACCTAGCTCGGCCACATTCAGGGAACGTGGTATTTTCAGTTTGGTCGAACAGAAGGGCTCACTTAGGACCTCTAGCCCGGTTAAAAGGTTTGGCTCCAGTCGTAGTTCGGTCATTGGGTATGGTTCCCAGTTCGATCTAATACACACCTACGGTAAACAAGTTCCTATCCCAGTCGTGGTGTGATTCTGGATCAAAAGTGTCCCATTACAGATTGTTTGTGAACCTAGTGAGTGTGATTATGGTCTAAAGAGGTTCTTGCCCATTCATGTGAAAACTTTAGTAATGTGTTTCGAAAAACATGTGAATGTGTTTCTATACTATATATATATATATATATTCACAAAGCAAAACGAAGAAAATGAAAGGATTGGGTTACTTACAGCTTCGATGTGGAGGGACGAAAGTCAAGATTGAACGGGCGCCAGCAGGAACACACGCTTTGTAGGTATTTTGAGCGTGAAAATGGAAGCTCAGAGGCACGAAGAGAAGGAGAAGATGAATAGTGGAGTGTTTGATTTGGAAGAATAAGGTTTTTTTGTATAAAGCGTGAATTTGGGCGGGACTGTTCAAATTTTACGAGGTACGAAGGCGGCTATGACAGCTGTATTCAACCAATGAGGGCTCGCCACGTGTCCAGGAGAATCGTAAGCGATTCAGATGTGCAGCGACTGAAAAAACATTTTTTGACTGGACAAATTGGTAGCCCGGTAACAATTTAGCTCGGTTGAAGGCTAACTTTTAGCTCGGCGGGTAACAAGTAATCCCAAATCATGCTGCGCAGATGGAATTAAGGGGCAATTGAGAGGGTAATTTATAAATAAATTGGGCCGAGCTAAGGAAGAGGCTTCTTTGGAAGTTGGGCCGCACGACGGACCGAGATATGAGCTGTTGTAGTTTGGTCTAAACACTAACGAGCTTGGGACAGGAGAAGTTTGGGCCGAGCTATGGGCCAAGGTGTTTGGGCTTCACAAATTGGACCTCACCTTGTTAGCTCAGTCGGGGCTACTGAGGTTAGCTCGCTCTAAACAGCCAAATCGAGGTATAAGTGAACAGGGACCGGGCTAGGCGTTGCATATGAAAGCACCAGATTGAGTATGTTAAAGGGCCTAGTGTTAGCTTAGTCATACTGTTATTGAACCGTGGTAAAACCATCTCACTTGGTTTAAGCAGTGAGGAGGGTGTTGAAGGATAAGCATTATCTTTCAGGAGTGTGATTCCTAGGAGGACTTTATATTGAGGAATAAGAGTCCTACTAGGATTGTGCTAGGCAAAAACTATAAAAGCTCACAACAGAACCTATGTAGAGGTATCACAATTTTGATTCTCGAATACACAGAGCTATTTGTCTATTTTGCTGACTTAGGCATCAGAGAGGTATCCGACACACACCCGCCAGCTAGCTCACGTTTGTGTTTTCAAGGAGTAAAGTGACGACATTTGGAGGAGCTCAAACTTGATCAACAGGATTATATGAGAAGATTATTCTGTGCTCGTACAGATTTTATATAGAAAACAATAACCCTCCCTAGCTGTTTTCAACCCCACTTCTTTATCCCTTCTTTTCATTGCAATTAGAATTAAAACTTTGTCCTTTTATTTTATTTAATGCCATTCTATATTTACCTATGTTTCACATGGCTCTATGTATCCCCTTGCACCCAACAATATTATTTCTTTTTTAATTGAAATCAGGAACTTGGAGTTAATCAATTTAATTTGTTTATATTAATGATGCCACAGGTCTTTAGGGAGGAAGGTTAGTAATTGTAGGAACTATAGAAAGGTATACTTGGTTATTTCGTTTCTAAATAAAAAATTATTAGATACTCTAGGAGTACCATGTAATATAGTTTCTTTTTTACTTTCTATTACACCTTTCTTATAGGTTGAGGCTTTTATTTATTTATTATATCTAATTTCCTCTTAATAAAAGCTTTTCTTATAATTTACAGATGGATAAGACTTAAACCCAGGTAAAACTCTATGCTTATTCATTTTCTCAAAATTTTCCCTTCGCATACTATTTTTGATTTGATTATAGGTTATAGTCAAACTCTTATGTTTTTGTGTGTTGCGATATATATAGCATATTCGGTAATTTATTTCCTTCGCATACTATTTTTTATTTGATTTGATTTGATTATAGGTTATAGTCAAACTCTTATGTTGAGGCTTTTTGTTTGATAAAATACCTAAAATAGTCTCTTCTTTATTTCCCTCACTGTAGTTACCAAGTGGAAGCATAAGCTTGACTGCCTTTAGAGTTTTTGTGCTTTGAATTTGGTATGGTAACTCTCTCTTGATTTATCTTTTATCTTTTATTTTTTTTTTATTTTTTATAGAGAAAAGATTTAGCCATTTAAGCTGCTTATATGAGAGTGCTTTTAGGCATGAGTGATATGCTAACAATTCATATTAAACTTTTTTTTTCTCTAAATAACATTCTTTTAATCCGTTTGATTTGATTTGATTGTTTTATTTATTTCATATATTGCTACTAAAACGACTATTGGACCACTTTAAAGTCGTTTTATTTTAGTTATTTTTTAATGCAACAATTTCAATTTTAAAGTTGTCGTAGTTGATGTAATTAATGACTTTCAAATTAATCATTTGTGTAATTACTCTTATTTAAAGTACTTTTTCATTTACATGATTAGTTTAGTCACATTGGGGCATTATATTTTTTGATCAACAATAGCTTTATTGATAAAAGAACCTTATAAGAAGGAGAAAATACATCAATAAAGGAGAAAAGAAAGGACAGGGGAGAGGGGGATGATGCACAACACCAAAATAGAACTGTTGGTGAGGGACCAACAAGAACACAAAAACATAACAGCAGATCTAGCCACTACAAAGCTCAAAAGCACAAAAGCACCAAAGTCAGAAGATCATGCTACAGCAGACAGCAGGAGCTACCCATCCCAACAAAGGTAGATAGAAAATATATATCACCAGGACTAAAACAAGGGTTGCCCAACCAGCACAATCATCAACCAGCACTGATACAAATAGATTCACATCCAAAACTGAAGCAAAAATTACCCAAACCAGCAGCCCAATAGATCTATCCACTACTACCACCAAGTGCTAAAACATTGATCAGAACCAGCACATAAGTAGATGAAGCAGAATCAGAACAAGCAGCACACAACATACAGATACAAACAGCAGAGC